TTGATTATCCCTAACAAAGTTTCATAAGTCCATTTTTTCAATTAAACAATTGAAAGCAAATGACCCAAAAGCTCAAGTAGACAATGGACAAACTACCCCTTGTGGTTGGCCCAATGGTCGACTTGATAAGTTTGAGAAACAATGATAGAGAGACAGAGAGAGAGAGAGAGATATGGGCCCTAAGTTATCCCTTTTCCCATAGTGTGGTTTCTTCTTCTTGTTTCAATCATAAGATTCCCCTTTTCCAAATTGGCATTTATGGTGTCCTACATGTTTTTGGCTATTATTGCCTTTTGTTTCCAAAGCTCATTATATTACATCACTTGTGACTACTTAGTTATCACACTGCACACGTCTCTATTGCAATTTGTATATTAAAATATGTGTAAATGATACTAATTAAGTTATCATATCCATGTAATGTAACTTGTACTCAAATTATTAAACTAAACATTAATGTAGGTTGTTAATTAATTATTAATTCGGATAGTATACATATTGGATAAATTTTTGAAAATTATGGATTTGAAAAAATTTAAATACATAAAATTTTACTTGTATGAAGTAATTAGATAAAAGTAAAGAGAGTTAATTAAGCTTTATGTGGAAATTAACAAAAATCTTTTTTTAATAATGTTTCGAATTGATGATATATCAAAATAATCAATGTTTCTAATGTAACTATTCACATTCATAAAATTGATTTCTAATTTAAAAGTTTTACAATTGTGAACCTGAGATTGATTTCTATTCATATTAATAATAAAGCATTGATTATTGGTAGCCAATTAATTAATGACATATTGGAAATGGATGAACCGAGATTGTTTTTGACATAGCTTGGTTTTATGCTAGGATCAAGCAATGAACAAAATGGGGAGCCAAAGGAAGCAGAGGAAACACCTAGATATCCACCAGACCCTTTACCTAAAACAATCTTGCAATGGGCCTAAATATGGCCACCGTTGGATGAACGAGAATCTCAAAATTCAGCCTTATCAATTGTATAAATCAATCCAAGCTCAAATTGCCCACTTGCAGGCCTAAATCCAATATACTCTTGAGGCTTCCAATGGACCTGAATATCACCTATGGATATTGGAATGAGCAAAATTGGGTGAAAAAAACTTTTGTGTTAAATAAAAATTATTAAGCATTTTAATTTAAAATTAAATGATAATAAATATAGAAATTCAACATGAATATAAGGTTACAAAAAATTAAATTAAATATTTATTAAATATGAGATAATATCACTTTAACAGAACATCATCATGTGTAAGCAAAAATAAAAAAAATTTATTACGTTACAATTTTAGAAAATGCAATAGAAGAAAATTTTAGCTTTGATATCATATTAAATATTCAATTTAAAATTAATTGATAATAAGTGAAAGAATCTAACCTAAATATAAAATTACAAAAAATTAAATATTTATTAAATATAAGATAATATCACTTTAACAAAGATCATCTCCCAAACTTCTATCATTGATTTTACCCATTTCATTCCAATAATAAAATCAAAACTTTATATTTCATTTTACAATTTTTTTTCTTAAAAATAATTTACAAATTGAATGAATGATGGCTCATAAATTTAGATTGTTACAAGTTAAACATTTGTTAAGTGAACCTAACATTTTGATTATCATTAATCCTAATCAAATCAAAACTTTTGACCATAAAATTTATTCATTGAGTGTGTGACACAATCCATAAAATAAATTTTACAAATGTACAGTGCGCATGACTCTTCATTGGGAGTATCACATGGCACTCTCCCCTCTTTTTTTTTTTTTTATTTAAAACACCATTTTTACTATTTTTCATTTTCATTTTCTTTATTTCTTTCTTCCACGTATCTAATCTATTTCAGATCATTACAAATCAAAATCTCATTTCTCTTTCTCCTCATTTCTCCCGTATCCATCTCTTACCTAAAAAATCCCTAACATTCTATCACATCCATGTGCTCACCCACTCATATCTATACTAACAATTCAAAATCTCAATTTTCTTTCTCCCAACGCCCCATATCCATCTTTTACAAGAAAAAAAAAAATCCTCAACATTTTATCACACCCACAACAACGTGGTTGATAATCTATCAAATATAACATTTTTTTTTAAAACGTAATTGATAATTTTTTATGTCTTAAAAAAATTTCGTAATATTAAAGTTGTAAAAAATGGAATGCATTGGGTGTCCACATGATTGATAATCTATCAAATAACATATTTTTTTGTTTTAAAATATAGTTAATAATGAATAAAAAATTAAATTTAAAATTATTTAGATTATTTTTTCATGTAAATGTAATTTTTAAACCACAAAAATCACATTTCTTAAGTAAGAACCATGAGATTTGTAAAAATAAAAGTTTTTGGTTGTTAAAAAATAAATAAATACAAGTTTTTAAGAAAGTAAAAAGAGAAAATTTGATGAACAAAGACCACGACCACATTTATTGTAGTCTTTGTAGAAATGAAAGTTGTTGATAGTAAAAATAAAATAAAATAAAATAAAAATTATTGGAAAAATAAAAGTTTTTATCAAATACCAAACTATCGGTGCTTTTGCATCACATTTCTCGTATAGAAACGTGATCTTGATAAAGCAAAAGCTAGCTCTTATATAGATACATAATTTTTGATTAAAAATTTTTTGAAAGATTATATTTTTACATATAAAAACGTAGTCTTTTTTTTCTTGTTTATAACCTACTTTACTCATTTTGACTTTTCATCTTTCTATTTTTTCTCTCTTCCACATGCCACCTTTCATACTCATTACCAAACAAAATCTCGTTTCTCTTATCCTACACGCCGTTTTTCATCCTTTTTTTCTTTTGTTGCAATTTACAACTTCTCCCAAATTATAGCAATGTTCAAGCAATGGCCAACTATAGCTTCTCATGGGAAGAGATCAGATAATGCAATAGAAGCTATGGTTGCTTAAGTTAAAAAACATCCTTCTTCATCCATATTTATCATCATCGGTTGTCATAACGTATAAATTTGTTGATCTATTACTAGATATAATTAAACGAGTCACTACTAATTTTTTTTGTTTAGGTACAATTAATCATCTAATAAATCTATCTTATTTTAAAAATAAGTTTAAAACTTGATTTAAGTTTTTTTAAAAGGTAAATTCAATATTTATGAAATTATGACTAAGTTTAAGTTCGAGAGTACGATTACATATGAAGAATATTATAACACCATCACAATGCCTATCAAACGATGGTATCAATGTGTCATCCATTGAGTATTTAAAAAACTTATCAGATAGTTAATTATTAGAAATTATTCTTAATTAATTCAAATACTTTTGATAAAAAATTAAAAGAATTTTCACATCTCAAGAGTATACAAAAAAACTATTATTTCTCTTACAAAAGCTTCGTTGTTGGATCATTTAATATTTATTTTATTTTTCATGAAATTATTTAAAAAATTTACCTTCAAGAAAATTTTGATATTTCAACTTTTTCATTAATTCTTAAAAAATTTTGTTTTAAAAAAATTGATATCTCAACTATTTTCTCAAATCTTTTTGAAATTATTTTTATTTTAAGAAAAATTGATACTTCAATTTTTCCTCAAATATTTTTTTGAAATATTTTTTATTTAAAGAAAATTGATATTTTAACTTTTCCTCAAATATTTTTTTGAAATATTTTTTATTTAAAGAAAATTGATATTTTAACTTTTCTTCAAAACATTTTTTAAAAATATTTTTTTATTTAAAGAAAATTGATACTTAAAATATTTTCTCAAATATATTTTTGAAATATTTTTTTATTAAGGAAAAATTAATATTTTAACTTTTCTTCAAAACATTTTTTAAAAATATTTTTTTATTTAAAGAAAATTGATACTTAAAACATTTTCTCAAATATATTTTTGAAATATTTTTTTATTAAGGAAAAATTAATATTAAAAAATTTTCATCAATTTTGAAAATATTTTTATTTATATATTTTTTCTAAAAAAATTAACTTAAAAAAATAAATAATAAATAAATAATAAGTATAATAACAAAAAAAAAAAAACAAGTCGGCTCAAAAAATCAATCCCGACTCGACTTCAAGCACAAGAAGCAGGGAAGTGTGGGCTTAGTTGCAAAAAGGAAATCAGCTAAATGGCTCATAGATTGGCTTGGCTCCACGGCTCAAAATGTAAGAGAGTTGATGGATGGAGTGTGACCGGATCGGGTCGGGCGAAAAGCAACGCGCGGATCTTTTTCTTAAGCAACATGACGCCGTTTCCAATTCTCTTAAATAGCCAAAATTTTCAGCTTCTCCTCATTTATTCCATTTCTGAGTGGAGGATTATTTTTTTGAATGTGGTTTTATGGCTGTATTTGGGTTTCGAATTTTTGATTGTGTCTGTCTCTGAAGTTGTTTGCCTAAACAATATATGTTTGCTTTGGTTGCTAGGCAATTTTAGGCTTTGGGTACTGGATGTATGTGGATTTCGTGCTTGGAAATGGATTGATGAAAAACTGGGTGCTGGGATTTGTTTTGAAACTGAGTGGCTGTCGAACCAGAAGCTGAAGCTTCTGTGTTTCTAAGCTTTTGTTCTTGCTTTGCGATTCTGCTGCTGCTAGGTTTTGTAGTGTCAATTGTGTTCGCCGTTTCCCAAAAAACTACACAAACTAAAACAAAAGTTTTCAATACCAGACACTATTTCACACTTCCTTTATTTCTTAGCTGTCTTTTTTTCCGATATTTTCCTCTCTGATCACTGTGATTTTTCTGTGTAATTGTTGTTCTTTCTACGTTGAATGCATGCATATTTATTGTAGAGTCTCAACTCAGGATCAACTCAAGATCAGATTTATTTTAAACAAAATCAAGGATTATCCCCGAGATTAAACCACGTTTACCACATGAAGATAACCTTAGCCAATTTTTAATTTTTTTAGGATAAAAATAAAATAATTCTAGATGAAATAAATTAGGATAAAAGAAAAAATAATAAAAATAAAAATAAAAATAAAATAAAATGATAAGCTATAATCCAAAATAAAAAATCTCTAAATTCGATACATGAGTTTGAAAAGATTTAGGTACAATCGATTTTAACCCGGATTAAATGGGGGTGTCTACATTGGTAAAAACCCACTTTCTCTCTTTCTTCCTCCATATTTCTATGCATTTTTATTGGATTATTTATTCGGTGAGTTTGTTCTTGCAGCTATGCAAACAGAAGCTTTGCCAGTGGTTAATAAGTTCCAGCTGACCAAGAATCCCCATTCTTCGTGAGTTTCTTTTTCCCATTTTGTTATTTTTAGCAATTTTGGTTAAAGTAAGTTTCTTTGCAGGGTTTAAGCCTTCAAGATCAATAAGTTTAATATTTAATCTTATTATGATCAATCTTTTAGTCGACAAAGTGGTTGCAAGATTTTTATTAAGAAAAATGTTTGCTTGCTATATATTTGAGTTTTTCAGCTTTAAAATACTTGAAAAAATTATTTCTTTTGTGCATTCTAGGTACATATTTAAATGTTTTGTTTCACGATTTAGATGGGTAGGTGGCATGTAACTGGTTTTTGCAAATCATAAATAGCAAAACATCACTGTTAACTATAGTGGACTTCATTATCTGATGATGTTTTACTGTTTAGTTTGATTATTATTGAATAATGCTTCGGTTTTTCTTTTCATATGTCCATACACAATGGTGCAGGTTTCCAAAAGGGGTTCCTTGGGTCCGAGATTCCTCAAAATCAGTTGAATATAAATATCTTTTTTTATTTTTTATAATTGAAATTTTCATATTTTGAGTTCACTGTGCATTCTAAAATAATCGAAAACTCTACTCTAAAAAATACCTATATAAAGGTACTAATATTACGCTTTTGCTGGGTTTAAATTTCTAAAAACTCTACTATGGAATGTCATGGAGGATGGAGGGAATGAGCATTTTTGGGGAAGAAATTAGAAGCGGTAATGCTTCTGGCTCCTTTTCTCCATGGGGATCACTTCACATATTATGTTGAATAAACATGGTTGTTATAATTTTTGCAGCCCCAAATTCAAAGGGAGACTTATACGTAAAATTGAGGTATTGGGTGGAGTGTACTAATGATTCTAACCTGCAAGTATGTAAGCAAAGTTTTTTTTTTTTTCTCTATATATTTTGCTTTTTTAGAGGTTGCTGATCCATGTTTTTATGGTTAGGGATAACATTGCAGATCATGAGAAGTGGTTAAAGTGGTTTAGTTGTGATTGAATTCTGCATTTTGAAGATGTAAGTGTCATGTCCTTACATCTAATATGCTCAGTCATCTATTCTTGCTCTGTCATCTATTCTGTTAGATAGAAATATTGTCATACTTGCTTTGGTGCTTTTGATGCTATTAATTCCTTTATTTACAACTTTTGATTTATTAATAATTAATGATTAGTTTATATATTTAATGCTATAGTGTTCTCTGCAATATAAATATAGTTGAGAGTTCAATCGGAATTGCTAGTAAAAAAATTGCTTTCCATGTGTTTACTCCAACCTTTATCATTATCTATAGGTAAGAAAAGGCTATAAATGAATGTTACTGCATTTTTATGTCGAGTACCTGTTGGATAGTACATGTGAATTTAAAGCTAACATACAAAATATCAGTACAATTTTTGTCAACAAATATAGCTTCCTTATGATTTGACAAAAACTTCCCTTAATTCTAGGTTGACAGGAAATCATTTTTTACTCAATTGGTACAAATTTAACCATGAAGCTAATTTTGCCATTGAAGGGTATTTATAGTTTAGCCATTGGATGTAAGAATGTTTATGCAATGATATTAGTTGAAAAGATTAGATGTTGGATTACGCGTTAATGTTTAATGGCCATTAGTTGTAAGATAGTGATAATAGAAGCTAATGCCTTTCTTTTTCTCTATTTTATACTTTTCTAAGCAAAACATATACGTGAAATCAAATTTCATATGTATTGCATTTTTATTTTGCATATCTTTGTTTTTAGTGTTTGCCTTTGTTTGAATAATTCATCTTTTTCTTACTTTAGTTTGCTGATTATTTTTACTTGAATGTACATTTAATTCCTTCCATATTTTTATTTGTAATTTTTTTAAGAGAACAAAAGATTTCACTTCAATTTTTTTTTACCTTATTTTAGTTTCCTAGTTAATGATCATTTTATTTTGATTACATTTTAAAAAAATATATATTCAGACTGAATATAAGCTAATATAAAATCTTTTAAAAAAATTACGAAACCCTTAAAACAATGAATAAATACTCAAGAAACACCTTTTTACCTTTATAATGATATCTATACTTTTTTTTTATATTTAAGATGGGTTTTGAAGATTAAATCTCAGTGGATTTTCTTGGAAAATTCTCTTCTAAACTCATTGTGTTGATATAATTCTTTAATTTTATTACTTAGTTATTATGATATTCTTTTTGAGCAATTTACTTTATTAATTGTTTAGAAATGGAAAGGAAATGGTTTAAAAAGAGATGATGCTTTAAGCTTTCAATGGTTCTTTTTTTTTTTTTAATTGTTGTGATATTATTTTGAGCATTTTACGTCATTTAAGGTTTCTATTTTTCAGTTTTAGGATTTTATACAACTTGCGAATTATTAAGTAGAGATAGGATATACGTCATACTAGGTTTGGAATTACTGGTGAAATAGTAATGAAAACAGAGATGAGATATACATCTGATATAGTCTCCAATTGCTAGTTTATTTTAGCTTTCATTTGTTATTTTTGCAAAAAAAAAAAAAAAACTCTATAGTAATTTGATCAGTGAATAAAAAAAAAAGGAAAATTAGGTATTAATTTATTTTTTAAATATTAAATTTTGTAGAAAAAAAGCTTAATGTGGACACCCCACTTTTGCTCTCTTGCTTTTATTTTTTAAGTTTATTCCCCTATTTGAAAAGAAATAAGAGTTGATGGAAACTATTATTCCATTGAAGAGGAAAAAGAGTTGATGGAAACTATTACCCTGTTTGATAAGAAAGAGGAGTTGGTGGAAGGCAAGTCTTTGAAAAGAAAAAGTAGTTGGTGAGAGTTGAGAAATATTGAAGAGAAAAAAAAAAAATTTTGAGAGAGGGAGGAAAGGAAAGAAAGATCAAAAAGCTCCTTTCATCATAGGCAATGTGAAGGTTAATTATCTTTCTTCTCTTCTCCCTTTGTGTTTCATCTAATACTATGGTGAATATGTAATGGCTATTTTTTGTTGTTGTGGCAACTGATAATCAACAAAGAATAGCTTCTTCCCAAGAGTATGCTCACATTGTCACTTCTAATTTTTTATTTTTAGATATGTGCTTTGTTGAATATTTATTGTGGTTAAAGATCATAGCCTACTACTTTGCAATCTTGAATATTCATTAGCTTTCAATTAAATAATAATAAAAAATCTTATTAGCTCATTTTTTAGCATTGGTATGCAATGCTGTGGGACCAAAGTTAATGTTATTGAGAGGTTTTAATGGTCATTGGTTAAAATTTTATAATCATTTTATTATTCTATACTCATGTTTACAAAAGATTTCTCTTATTAACTTTTGCAGTCTGGTCAGAGAAGAAAAACGAAAAAAAGATTGTGGTGACTTTCAGATTGAACAGAAAATTTCTTGCTTTTTGGCTTTTGCAGGATAAGTGTTTGATGTTTTGTTTGAATAGGTTTAATATGGTGTTGAAGAGTTTGGTTGTATTTTCTGGTTGTGAGGTGAATGCTACCGCTGCTTTCACTTTCTTTTTACTATGGATAGTAATTTGGACACCATAGGCAAAATCATTCCTTTTATTTGTTGCATTTCAATTCTTTCTTTGATTTTTTCAAATTTGAGGTTGCAAATTGAAGTAGAGTATCTTGATATCTTTATTAGGTCGCTGCCATAAGAGCAGAAAGGATTAGAGCCCTAAACTTTGTGCTATTCACAGTCCTTTCCCTATGGAGTGAATAAGACTTGCGCTAACAAAAAGGCTAGTTTCAGGCAGAGAGCATATCTTTTTAGGAGGTTAGTTCTTACTATGATACAAGATTAAATGCTTTCAATACTGTAGCATAGTATTTGAATTCTGAGGAATTTGATGAATTGTATGAGTTTGCACTTATACATGATATTTAGCTGTATCAACCTAGCATCTATGCTGAAACGTGTTCATAACCATTTGTTATTAATAAATCTATCGAAGCCTTATTTCTCTACTCTATTTTATGTTCTTAAGACCACATATAGAAAAAACTGCTCGATATGCTTGACAAAGATCACGGTTCGAGATAGATGATTAAGTACTTAGAAACGTGGATCACTTTTATAGTGCCAATATTAAAATATTTAGATCATGGACAACTTATCAAATTTCAAGATCACCTTAAAATTGATCCAAACCCGGTCCAAGAGGCCATGGGTGACCTGGAGCATTACACACTCCTACTTACTGAGTTGGCTTAAAATTTTGTTAATTGTTTAGTTGTGAGGAGATTGGTAATTTTAAGATTGAACAAAAAATTTCTTACTTTTGTGCTTTTGCAGGATAAGCGTTTGATGTTTTGCTTGAATAGGATTAATATTGTTTTGAAGAGTTTGGTTCTATTTTCGGTTGTGAGGTGAATGCTACTGCTATTTTCACTTTCTTATTACTATGTAGTAATCTTGGGCTCTATAGGCAAAATCATTCCTTCTCTTTGTTGTATTTCAATTCTTGCTTTGCTTATTTCAAATATAAGATTGTAAATTGAAGTAGAATGTCTTTATATCTTTATTAGGCTGCTGCAATCAAAGCATAAAGGATTAGAGTCCTAAACTTTGTGCTGCTCACAGTTCTCTCCCCACAGAGTGAATGAAACTCGCGCTGATAAAATGGCTGCTTCAGGCAGAGAGCATGTCTTTTTTAGGAGGCTAGTTCATACTGTCATGCAAGATTAAATGCTTCTAATACTGTAGCATAGTATCTGAATTCTGAGAAATCTGATGAATTGTACAAGTATATGCTTATACATGATATTTAGCTATATCAGCCTAGCATAAATGCTGAAATGTGTTCATAACCATTTGTTATTAATAAATCTATCAAACTTTTATTTCTCAACTCTATTTGATGTTCTTAAGATCACATATAGAAAAAACTAATGGATATGCTTGACAAAGATCACGGTTCGGGACAGATGATTAAGTACTTAGAAACGTGGATCACTTTGATAATATCAATACTGAAATATTTAAAAATATTTAGATCATGGACAAGAAATATTGATTTTCAAATACTTGATTTGAGGTTTTGGTGATAATTATTTTTGTATTATCAGTGCTTTGCGTGTTTTGTATATTGGTTGTTTATAATTTTTGAAATTGTTAATAAAGAGGCTAAGGATAGTGTGTTTTGTTATTTTTAGATGATTTAGCTTTGTTGTCATTTTTTTTTATGAATCAGTATTGATAATTTTTGAACCTACGGCAACGCGCAAGTATCATACTAGTAATATAATAAGCTTTGACAAACAATATTTTAATCCGATAGCAGGGAGGGATTCTTAACATATTGGAAGAAGAGAACCATTCCAATCCTTGAGACATTCGAGCAGCGGATCAATCAACTTTCCCTTACACATTCGGACTAATACTTTATCACATTCTTCACCTGGTAATCTCATTTTCTCTCCTGTTAAAAACTCTGTACGTAAGGCATCTCGCATAAACTTGTAAGAGGGGTAGGACCTGCATTCTTTAAACTTGTTTGGGATTTCTGGATTACCACTTTCAAAAGCAATTCTTCCACTTTCAACTTCCTTTGGCAAGACTGTCTTCAATTCCTCCTCAAAAGCGCCAATCTTAAGAAAGATTGGAGCATTTGCCTTACTCAAATCATCATTGTTTGTCCAGGCATGTTCTACGAGGACTTGCCTCAGCTTTTGCATAAGTGGGTAAGTTGCACTTCAGGGATCGTCAACATATGCAAAAACATGCTCACGATCGACCACTTTAAGCAAATCCTTCTCACAGAATCTTGAAGGGTGAACCTCCCCGTTTGCCCCCCATGGTTAGGACTTTTTTGGCGACTTGGTTCACTGTGTTCTTTACTGCGTTCTGCAAGTTCCCTCGAGGTGCCTCAAATCTATAGCCTGACAGAGCCCAATCACGTATGTTGAAGACATCAGCTTTAAGATGTCAACAGCTTCAGCTGTTCCTGGCAGAGATTAGCCCCAACGAGTTCACATCTTGGTTGTGTTACTCTGCACTGTGGACATGATCGGTAAATGGATTAGCCAGAAATTGGTGCTCTGAGCAATACGCTGCCATAGCTATCTCAGCACCCTTGAACCCATAATCTAAGCTTGGATTCCTACCACCTGACAGATTGGATGGCAACCCATTGTTGCAGAAATCATTAACAAGCTCAGAGAATTGAGCAAACATGAGTTTTCCGATTGAGGCTATTGCTAATCTTGTGTTATCCATAGAGACACCAATAGGAGTACCCTGGAAATTCCCGTCATGTAAGGCCTTCTTTCTTGACACATCAATCGATGGATTTATACCTAGTTAATCTCCCTTTCAATGGACTTTGTTGATGATCGAATTACTTCAACATGTGGGCCTAACCATTGTGGGGATGTACGAAGAGCATATCGGTCTTGCTTAGGCTTTTGCAAGGGATCAATTTCATGCAACTTTTGTGCTTCCTTAAAAAATGCGCTTCCATCCAGAATGTGTTCCATAATAGCTGCAGTCTCAATCTGGCCAGGATGATACTTCAGCTTATGTGTCAAATGATCTGTAAACTCTGGCTTTCCTTGGATAACCTTGGCAAATATTGCTGACAAAACTTCCGATGAGACTGTCAAAATGTTTGCCTCAAACAGAACTATAGAATCCAAGCCAAAGCCAGGGCCCGTGCCATTAACTAACATTCACATCAGATAAAAAGTTTGAGTTTTTACCTTTAAAACCTTTTTTTTGGATGATAGAAACTTTAGTGAAATTCACCCATCCTAGTTTGAAAATCACTTTGAAATAATATTTCTTTTTTTTTTTTATTTAAACTCTATCCCTTCCCAATCAAGAAAACTTGTGCAGAGAAATTTTGTCAATGGCCTTTAATTTTAGAAAAATGTAACAAAATATGAGCTTGATGCATAGTCAAATTTCCAAATATTGCTATCACATTTTGGGATTCTAAACAGAATTTTATAAGACCTTAATAAAATCTGGAAAAGATAGTTTTTGAAAAGGATTAAAAGCTGACATTTGAAGCCCCTTCCAACTTAAAAATTGCTAGTGCAAAACCATGTCCTAGGATGCCAAAAGTAGACCAACAAAGACTAAAGCAAATAATGTTCTTTCCTTCAATGCTTGTCATAATCCAATAGAGTAGTGGGTAGAACAAATTTTAGCCTACTAGCAAAGTAACAATGCTCAAAATTTTGTGGCTTTTTCTCATTTGTCATTTTCTCTAGATTTTGGTATGAAACTGGATAATATGGGAAATGAAATAATTACAATTAGATCACATCTTAACAAATAATCAAACTAGACGACAAAAAAAACCTAGAAGATTAATACTGGTTTTTTTTCTTGCACCTAAGGGCAAGAATAAAATGTACTTAAATGTTATTTAATTACATTTTGAATAAACAAGCAGGCCTCTGTGTGTGTCTCTCTCTCAAAGTGGTGGGCTAACCACACCCCCCCCCCCAAAAAAAAAAAAAAAGAAGAAAATAGCTGTCAAGTGTCAAGAGTTGCCCAAGATTTGTCCATTGGTGTTTGATACCATGAATCCATTTATATTTGCTTGGAGAAAAAAAATTATCCCCAGTTGTAGTGGATTTTTTTTTTTTTGCTCGTTAGATATACTCTATATTTTCTTGCAAGAAACGTGCTGATTTTCAGTTCTAATGATCCTTGGAATTTAGTGTAAAGACATATTCTTCTAGTGGTTTGGTAAAAAAATATTTATATTGCTTCAACGTAATTTTGGAGATTTAAAGAAGTGGATATTCCCCCTTGCTATTGATTTCATGTTAACGTTATCTAATGACGAGAAAAGTACAATGATGACAATAATAAAGGATCTAACTTATCTTATTAATTCACTGAAAAAATCGATTAATTTTGATTCAATATCAGATAGATTATCTTAATTCACAATGTGAAGCCACACAAAAAAGTAGAGTAGATCGATATCTAGAAAAGATTGAGAAGCAGAAATGTGGGATCGTCCTAAAACTTCTAAACCTGAATATAGACAAGAGCAAAGTATGCATTTTTTTTCCATATTGAAGGTTTGAAAGCAAAACCATGCAATTTGCAACGAAAAAAGAGAATGATTACAAGAAAATTGCACATATCCCGACTGTCTAGCAGTATGAAGAGTTCTTATCACTCCATGCATCAAATCAAATCAAAGTTTCTCAATGACAGAAAGCATAGCTATACCCTTTTTGTTGTTTTTCTTTTCTACATGGATTTCAGGTCATTCAGTGATTCCTAAAACTAAGTACAGTGGGCAGCACTGCAAAGAATTGGCAAATTGGATAATGTTGATAGAGAGTATGTGGGGGAGGCACAAATATAGATTAACCACTCATTGCTTTGCTGTTTCCCTCTTTGAATGCCATTTTTCCATGTCATTGATTCATATTTCATCCACAGTTTCCAAGGAAGTTTCTTTGAAAGTATATTCGCAAAATAAGTAAGAATTTTTGGTACTACTGATATAAAAGACAGAAAGGAAATTCTTACTATAAAGTAAGTTCAAATCCCATATATGTAATTCTCATTCTTACACACAAGAAGTTGAATAATTGCAAGAAATGGAAACCCAAAAGGGAAAAATGAAAATAAGTATATCCAGTTCTCCTTTTACATGAGTTCATAATCTCCGATTTGGTATGTAGCTTTTTTCCTCTTAAGTGAAGGGAAATATTTAAACTAAAAAAAAAAAAAGAAACATGATTGCATCAGATCCTATTCATTAGTGGTTGCGGATGGATCATCTTTGGTAGATGATGATAAAATAAAAAGCAAATGAACCAACCATGGGATTATTAGTGAGTGAGTTGAATATGGAGTTAGGATTTTCATTGATTAATATCTAAAGCAGGAAAAGATGGTACGGAGAGTTCTAAGCAGCAATTTAATAACATATTGCTCTGTTGTTCATTTGCCATCTTTTCCTTTTCTTTATTGCTTTTTCTCTTTTTTCTTTTTGGCAAAGTCATCCTGTCATCACCTTTAGCCATTGCTCTGCAGCGCATTCAATCTTAATATCTTAAAACTTTGATGCAGGGAATAGTGGTGACTTAGTTCTTAACTTTCTGTTATATTAGGAACTATTGCAGGCATAAACTGTGTTTTGTTGAATTTTTTTTAATGCGTAACTTTTAATTTCTTAATTGATTCCCTATTCATTCCACCAAAATTCATACCACTTAATACACATGTTGTGTTTGAACCTTGTACCTTACCTAGTATCGACAACAATTTTATGGTGAAAACTCACTATAAGCATGGCTTGCTGTATTCAAGTGAAGAATTACTTCCTCTGAAATTATTTAACAAGTTCCAAGCAAGAATCCTGGTCGAAAATTTTTCCCAAATATTTTGGACTTTGGGGTCAAGAAAGCGGTCAGGACTGTTGACTGGTTGTTGTCCAATGCCATTAACACAACAGATTCTTTCACTAGATTTTGTCGATAGTTTAAAGCTGTAGCCTCATCATCTTTCCACTTTCTTATAAAAAAGAAGCAAAAAAATCATGAAACATGAATGATAAATTTTGGGATTGGATAATTCAAGATCAAATCTTAAAGCAGATAGGATGTGGTAAATTGAGTCAGCTGTTCAAGTCTTATTGCCTACCTGGGTTAAGGAAATAGACATACCAGCAATGCAAGTGAAGGAGATATCTAGAAAGGTCCAAAAGGGAAAATGTTTTTTGATGCCAATGCTCAATATTCTTATGGAAATTACAGCCGATGGTACTTAAAAGCAAAGGATTCGAAGCCTTTGATTCTGACTTCCACTAAAAATTACTTGGAGAGGGATCAACTTATAAAAAAATGTTTTACACTTTTTTCAACTAATAATTTTAACAGATCCAAGGAATGAAATTAACCCATTTTCTCCTCCTCTTTCATCACTTAGATTTATTGAAATCAATGGTTAAAAAAAGTATAATTTTGCAATGATGATAAATCAGTTTTACACGGGAGGAAGATGATGCCTTTCCAAATTACTTTGGTTCCTTCTGTTAATAGAGTGGGCTAAACTCTGTGGTCTCTATTCTTGTGATGAATGAAGAGTGGGCTGCTATTTGTAGTGATAAACAATATGTTAGGTCTAGTCAGCACTAGAAGGTATAAACTCCTCAAAGAAAATCTTTGTTCTCATCTCGCAATCAACTATTCTTGACACCCAACTTTTCTACTTATAAATATAAGGCCACTCGGGGACAACCTTCATGCACATTCCATTCCCAAACCCACTTCCCTCTTTAAACTTGGTAGCCTTTCTTAT